TTTCGGCATTACTGGCACCGTAAAAGATAAATTATCTTATAAAACAACATTTTTTTTTTATTTTCTTAAGGATGTAGAGCTAATTAAATGACAAACAATACCTTTATACATTATAAATAATTTCTATATATTTCCATCATTTATAGGAGGAACAAAAGACATAAGGAGACCTGAAAAACAACAATAAAAATTCCATTCGCAATGTATACGTAAGAAATTTAATTGAGCAAAAGTCAATAACAAACAAATGAATTAGGTACAGAAGAATAACACCCCAGGTTGTTACAACCAGGGTTGTTAAATAGATAAAAGCAAAAATTCACATTTTTGTTTTTACAGTGCCATGTATATTATTGAGACATTTTGTTGTACAGTCTTATATATATATATATATATAAAAATAAGATGAAACTATTTAATCTATCAACGAGGAAATTTTCCTTTGACTCTAAAACGATAAATCATATTCATGAATCACATTATTACACGGCCCATCTGTGGCAACGATACAAAAAAAGTAGCCTGCAGAAACTTTATGTGTCCTACAATGATGGCATGAAGCTGCTACTCAAAGTGTCTAGATGGAGCAGTGCTAGCCATATGTTTGTACATAATGCTGTTCCCACATGTGCAGCTGTGCTCAGGAATCTTATGTATAAATGCATGTGTAGATTATCTGTGTCATGCAATAATATAATTGCAATTTTAGTAAATCCTGCTTTTAGTACTGTGAGATTCTCTTCAACAAGATGGAATCATTGGCGTCATCATTGATTTGTGACTCGGTGAATAATATCATGTCATGTTAATTTTTATTTTTCTCTTATTTTGTTTGTTTTTTATCTTTTTTCTATGGACCTTTTTTGTGTTTGAAATAAAGATATGATTGAGTGATTGGTCTTCTTAAAAGGTAGAGTCTCTGAGAACAGTTCTTAAAGATATAGTCAGTGTTTTCAGCAAAGTTGAGCTGACTGTCCAGGAATGATCCAAGGTATTTAAAATTTACCACAGTTTCAACAGGTTGGCCATCAAGTGAAACTGGAATCACTTTCAGTTCTTGTTTATCTCATTTAATTAGTTCTACTTCCTTAAGAAAATGAAAAGGTATGTTCTTTTGTGAGGGAATTTATCTTTTACTGTTCCAGTAATGCCAGAATTAATAATAAATTGTGGTATTCTGATTTAGTAATGTGAGACATCTCCATCTTAGCAGGTGTTTTTTTTTATTCTGCTCCGTTGACAAACATAATACAGCACAAAGGTTAATATCCACGGATTGCCTGATAGCACAAAAAAGGTTATAATTAGTTCAGATTCAAGTAGTGCATTAATAAGTATTCAAGAAGTAAATTCAGAATCAAAGCAAGATATTATATTGGATATAATTCACTCAATTTTCAGGATTAAAAATGATGGATCTCAGGTTAAGCTAGTATGGATTCCTACCCACATTGGTGTGGTAGGAAATGAGGTGGCTGATTGTTTTGGTAAAAGTGCTTGAAAAAAGGAAATTGTTGATTTAAATATTAAAATATGTAAAAATGAGATAAAGAATATTATAAAAATGTATATTAAGAAGAAATGGCAAGAGCAATGGAATAGAGGAGGCAATGCTAGGTTTTATTATAGTATCCAAAAAAGTTGGGGAATTAAGAACATGTAATAGAATTTAAAAAATGAAGATATCCAGAATAAGATTTGGATAAACAGGATTAAATAGTACTCTTAAAATAATTAATAAATATAATACAGGTTGTTGTAATTATTGTTAAAAATTAGAAATAGTACAGCATATATTTTTAGAATGTAATAAATATGTTCATGAAAGAGAGGTGTTAATTAGACCTTTAGATAGGGATGTAGTAGATGGGAATGTAGTTTTCTGGATTATAGTAGTAAAAGCATCTGATCCACACTCCAATATAGAAGGTGGCGGTAATGTACCTAAATTTTGTTTGCCAAGTATAGTATAGTTTGGAGAGAAAGCAAGAAGATATGGAAAATTAGGTGGGATAATGAAATAAATGGAAGATATTTATGTGGGATACAAAATACTGTTAATGTAGTAAGGATCAGAGGAATAAACAGGAAGGAGGAGATAATTATAAATAGAATAAGAACCGGTCACAGTTTATTTTAAATGAAACTCTTTTTAAGATGGGGAACATCTTACTGGTTTATGTAGTTGGTGTGATATTGTAGAAACAATATTAGCTGCAGGAAATATGTGAATCAAAGAAGATTATTAAAAAAGGAATTAGGTTTTAATAGGAAATTGAAATTTGAGAATGTTGTTGATCAGTTAAATAGTATTGAAAGAAAAAAGAAGGGTTTTCGTTTTTTAAAAAAAAATACCAGGCTCATTAGGAGAATTTGAGGAATAAGTATTGGGTCCAGCAGATGGCAGTAGTACAACAATAATAGATGCAAGCTGCTGTTAAAATTAAAGGAAGAAGAAGAAGAAGGAGAAGAAGAAGAAGAAGAAGAGAAGAGGAGGAAGAAAAGAAGAAGGTAACGCATGCTGGGTTCGATGTAGTGGTGAACATGAACTTTTATTGACATACAAAGCAGAAACAGTGGCAGCTGTCATTAATACAGCCACTTTGCTGACGTAATTAAAAATAAACTCCTTATAGTATTATTCAGTTGAGACTCTGAGATTGGCGCCAGGGTTTTACTGTCATAGACACTAACGGTAAGTTAATTCTTACGGTTACAGATTGATTCCGAATAGTCGTCTTCGCGAAAGTATTCATTAGATTAGATTTGTCCTTGCACAGCGTTTTTAGCAGTGCAACTATATTAATGGAGTAGCTCTGCTGAAAGCTTTAATGTGTAGCTGAGTTAGGAGTTTGAATAGCCCATGGGGAAACACCCCTCCCCTGTTTTTCAGTCTAATTGTCTGACTTTATACTTCTGTATTGTCTTCTTGAGCTGGAAATTTCCTGGGCTGGAGGGATTTGGCAGGCCATGATCTTTTTGGCTGACCTGATAATCCTCTGCAGAATTTTCCTTTCGGCAGCAGAGCAGCTGGATAACCATATAGTGATGCAATATGCCAAACCGACTCTCATTTGATTGGTGTGATAAAAGGACACCAGCAGCTGTTGATCCAGATGGTTTTTTCGAAGCAGATCCAGGCATCACCAGGCCTTCTTCAACACTGATGTTGTGTTTTCTGACCAGTAGAAGTTCTCAGAGATGTGAACACCAAGGAACTTGAAGGTCTGAACCCTTTTCACATAAAAGTAGAGAGGAAATGGTTCAGTTCTATTTTTCCACAAATTTATCACCATATATTTGGTTTTTGTTGTAGCTAAATACAACAAAAGCTTGACTTCCACACCATTCTGCCAGGATCTGAATTCCATCCCTGTATAAGGATTCATCTCCTCTTGTAATAAGTCCAATGACAGTAGTGCCATTGGCAAATTTTATAATGGTGTTGGAGGAGTGAGTATGTGTGCAGTCATGTATGCAGTCAGGTTTAGAGGAGCACACATCCCTGTGGTGAAGCAGTGCAGAATTTGAGGGTGGACTGAGCAGTGACGCCCAAGTCTGGTGGTCTGAGGACAATCAGTGAGAAAGTTTCTGATTCATTCACAGGTTGATAGTATATTCAAAGAATGCATTTTGTTAACAATAATCTGTGGAATTGTATAAAATCAGAGGAGTAGTCCAAAAAGAGCATCTTGTTGTTCTATGTGGGACAGGGCTGTATGGAGATCAGCCCATACTTCTGAAATGTAAGGGTTGATGTAAGCAAGTACTTTCTAATTTGTGTAAGTACACAAAATAGTACGCAAAGTACTTACACAAAGTAGAAAATAATAGTAATGTGGATGGAAAATCGAATATGTTTTTTTTAAATGCTATTTTGTTCTTTAAACCTCTCCACAACTTTCTCCCTGACCTGTGTTCTGTGCTCTTGGTCTTATAATGATTCTGTCAATTCTCTAACAACCCTCTGAGGCCAGAAACAGAACAATTCCACATAGACCGAGATTAAATTGTACACAGATGAGCCGTGTTTATTATTTAGGTGACTTCTGAAGGCAGTTGGAGAACTGGAATTTATTTGAGGTCATCACAGTCAAGGAGTCTGAATAAATATATTTGCCACATTTGTTCTTATTCTAAATGCTAAGGAGATTGAAGAGTGCAAAGTTACAATAAATAAATAACTTATCAAATAATTATTGAAAGTGTAACTGAACCCCAAATCAACTATTTTATAAACTGTCTAAATAGTTACTTAAGATTCTGTGTGAATTTTGACATGTTGGTGTAATTCATTTAGTTCTGCATTATTTGGCCTAAGACTGTCTCACTGCTGGCGATTCTTGGTTGGTTGCAGTGGTACAAATTTGTCACAGCCCCAGTTGGGGTATAAAAGCAAAGCAGGTTAGTTACACTTTACATTCATTTTTTAAAACAGGAAATAAATACTGAAATAGTTTACTAAGTAGAGTATTAAATATGTATCTCAAATAAATGTTTAGATTTAATTTAAAAAATATATAATTTTTTTTTGAAGTTACATACTACAGTTGTAAGAAGATGTTCAACTTCTTCTTACAAAGTTGAACATCTTTGTAAGAAGATGGTCCACTGACCATCACTGGATAGTGGACCAATGATGGTCCACTGTCTGGTGGTGTAATATCGTATTACGGGTTATTGAGCTGTCAACCTCAATAGTAGTTATCCTAATACAAAAAGTAAAACTACATGAAATTGTCTTTTCTAGAGCTTTGACATTTATCCTCTGTTGTAATGTAATGTGTCCTCCACTTTCACTCCATCTACAGAGAGCAACCAAACTTATTTGCTGTTTGTTAGAGGGCTATCAGCCTCTCATCATCTACTAAATCATCTCTTGTGTTTTATTTTAGGATGAGTTTCTCCATCTTTGACTCTCCTTCTCCATCTCCCAACACCATCCCTGCCCCCTTCCCTTCTCACTCCTGTGTGACACACTGCCCTGAACTCGACCTGTCGGTCAGTCTTAGCCCAGCCCCAAACACTGACCATATGCAACAGAAGCCCTGTCAGCTAAAGCAGAGTCAACACAGTGACCAACCCCAACAAAGGCCCCACCCACGAGGACAGACTGAAAGGAAAAGGAACACAAAGGTGGTACTGAATAACAGATACACTTTCATTTCGAGAAGGTTCTCTAAGAAATAATTATAATATTGCCTACTGCAGACAGTTTGGACTTTCAAAACTCCCATGCATCACTGGATAGCATGTATATAGACTCACAGAAGGCATGCTTTGGTCAAATCTGTAAGAAGAACCATACACATGAAACTTTTCAATTTTTCTGTCACATTTCAAACACAAACTTCATTAAAGCTGCAAGCAGCGTTGGAGGCCCTCGCAGCTTCGCGCTGCTCCGGCCATATGGCGACCACGGGAGCTCCAGCAACCACCAGCTTGCCACCATCGACCCTCTTGCGCAGTTTCTGCACCTGTTCACCAGGCGATGGGTTGAGCAGTGCTCCTTGATGATGCACATAAAATCTGGTGCAGATTGGCCTATGTAGTAAGGAGATACAGCTGTTGGAATAACCTAGGGGGCGCAGTGTAGTCAAATTACAATTTAATGCTATTGGACTCTTGAGAGTTTAACAAAGGTCAAGCTTATCAACTTTGGTGCAAATCATATGATGCATGTATGATTTAGAGACAACTGTATGCAATCAGCAAAGGATTAGAATTTGCCATTCAGCCACGCCGACATGCTGCAGCCACTGTTGAGAGAAGGACTTACCATCATGTTGTTGTATTTCATTAAACATAGGTTTACATCTGCATGAACCATAGAGTAAAAGGAAGAAAAACAGTGGGAAAACAGGGGACTTCCTGTTGGAAGGGGGCGGCTTTGGGTGCTCCTCATTCTTGTTTGGAGCGGCATGCTATACTGAGCTTTCCAAGAAAAAAAAGTCACTTCCTGTTCTGAGGGGCGAAGCTTAGATGACGTCACAATACGACGATAGAGGATTGTCAGGCATCCAAACAGGATCAGTCATGGCAAGTTTGGTCCCACTTGACCTTTATATGTGAAAGTTTTAGCGTTTTGTTTGCTTGAGCAAGTATGCCAAGTTTGCCGCTTGGTCACACCCCCTAAGCATATATGAAAACTCAATTTTTTGATAACTTTTAATGCCCCACCCATTAACTGCATCCTGACTAAAAGTGAAGTTGATGGCTCAAAATCTCTAGGAGGAATTTGTTAAAGTACTGACCCCCCAGGGCTGTGTAAGTGCCATGCCAGGTTCAGCACAAACAACGTCACTAGGCTGTGGTTTGTGCCACACTTTAATGGCCGCAGCATATGACCCACCCCTAGCTGATGTCCTCCTGCAGGGAGGACATCTGGTGGACTGGTTTGATACAATCTTATCCTGAATGTTAACAACACATAAGAAGTTGTCACTTTCAGGTAAAATCAGTCACACCCCCAACTCATCAGTGATGCCGCAGTGGAGCAGAACAGGAACATTCAATTTCTGGGGATACAGATCACTGACACTTGGACCTGGCCCCTCCAAACCTGTGGTCTGGAGAAGAGAGATTGGCAACGTCTGCACTTTTTACGTCAGATCTGAATATCAAACCTCCCCACTTTCTAAAGGTAGAACAGAGAGCATAATGACCAGCAGCATCTCTGTCTGGTTTGGGGTTTGTAATATTTCTGATTGGAAATGCATGAAGAGAATTGTGAGGACAAGACAGGACAGCTAAGAGAATCATCTGGACTGCACCATCTGTAAACAATACAAACAGAATCATAAATCTTTATAAAAAATCAAAGTCTGTGCACAAGATATTCAGAATAATTCAAAAAGCCTTACTGTCCAGGGCTTGGCCAATTACAAAAGACCCCTTCCACCCTCACCATGGCTTGTTCTCCCTGCTGCCCTCTGGGAAAATGTTCAGCAATTTCAAATGAAGAACAACAAAATTCCACAACATCTTCAACCCTGATTTCATGAGCCTAAATTCCATTAATCTTTTTATTCTATATATTTATATTGATCATTTTTGCTGTGTATTTATATTATTATTGGAGCCTTGCAACTACATTTTGCTCAATATGTACCTTTTTAAATGTGAAGTTGAATGACAAAGTTTATGCTTGTCTATATCAACGTGTGTATACCTGTGAGCGTGTGTGCATGATGCACTGCTGCATGGCAGCACTATAATCCTAATTTGTGTGTGTGTTTTCCGTGTATGTGTATATTTTTGTACAGGTGTGTTTTGAAGAACCAGAGGCTGTTAGACTAACACCTGAACGATGCATTGTTCCTCATCAGCACCATATTAGAGGGCAGAGAGGAAGCTTACAACATCGGCATGGTAACTAGTAATAAGTTATACATAATTTTATATAACTTATAAGTTTGAACAGCTTTATTATATATATGCTACATAACTTGCAAAGAAAACTGGTTTTACTGTTCTGCTTCAAATAGTGTTTGAGTTTTCAACAGTATTCACTCTTTAAAATAGTCATTATGAGTCAATCAATAAATATATAAAGTTGCATTCAAAAGTTAATTTCTTTTGTCAACAAATGCTTAATCAGTAAATTCACATTAAAACAGCATAATATTTTTGTGTTTGGAGCTCTATTAATATAAATATTGGATAATCAATCAGATTAGAAATTATCCCTGTGAGTTTGAAATGTCAGACTCCTCCCAGCCACAGAATCACGCCTCTGTCTTTTTCTGTGGTGAGTTGGAAGGTTTTCTATGGAGCCTCCTGCTGCAGGACTTGTCTGGGACCCAGGCTGTCTTGACAACGCAAAGCTGAATTCCACTCTGGCCCTGAAGGTGGAGCTTCTGTCACTTCAGGTTCACACTTTTCTCCATATTCATCCATGTTTTCACAAAGGTGATCTATTTTATCTGTTTGTGCAGCTGATCTTCTCATGTAGTCCATGTAAAGTAAAAGCTACAGTGCATTCTAAAAGTTCTCAAGTACTTAACGTTTTCCACATTTTTTTACAACCAGAAACTTGAATCAGAATTTTATGCGACATTCCAACACAAACTACTACAGAATTATAAAATGGAAGAAAAAAAGTCATACACTGTTTTCTCATTTGTATAAAGCAGTGTTTCTCCACCCTGGTCCTCACCGCCCCCCTGCTCTGCATATTTTAAAGGAGCCTCTACTCCAGAACAGCTGATTCAAATGACAGCATGACCATCAGGTACTGCAGAAACCTGTTAATCACCCAGAGATTCAATCCAGGTGTGTAGCAGAAGGGAAATACTTAAAACATGCAGAACAGGGGGGCGGTGAGGACCAGGGTGGAGAAACGCTGGTATAAAGCAATATAGAACTTTTTTTCTTACCATAGATGTTATACCTGGCCCGGCATATGGTCAGGGGTTTGATTAGCAGCTATAGTCACGTGTTGATCTGTGGCCCAGTCCAAATACTTGCACTTCCACCCTTGTGTCCTTCAAGGTTTTCAACTCATTGCTACATGTGAAGTTTTGAATTAAAAAGCAGGAATGTGGCAATGTTTGTTTTGTCCATATTGAAAAGAAAAAAAAAATTATAATAAGGCACACATCAGTAACAAAAATGTTTGATATGATAAACTGAGCACTTTAAAAAAAAAAGAAAAAAAGAATAGTGACACAAACAGCGTGAAAAAACTTAAATTCAGCTACAATTTGGGATAAAGATTGTGCTTTTATGTTGCTGCAATGTTTAGGTACTTCATTAAAGAAGGTAATTTCACTTAAAATTTTTAAAAATAGGGGGGATTTTAAGGAAGTGGTACTTTTGAATTGAAAATTTTAATTATTACCATAATTTGACTCTTCATGCTCTTTCAGAAGACCCAAGTTTTACTACATCAAAACTTAAAAGCAGAAAACATTTCAATATAAAGTTATGAAATCTTTCTAAAAACTTCAATGAATTTGCAATTGAAAAAAAAAACCGTTCTGATGTCTCAATATCTGAGTCACAAAACAGGTTTATATTTAATTTATTTTTCAGAAACACATTACAGAGAAAACTTCATACATAATTTTGAAATTGATTAAATTTTTTGTGGGAGTGGGAAAGAAGGGTATTTGGTACTTACTTTGTTTAGACATAATTTTTAAACGAATGTTTTCTTCTCAGGTAGAGCTGGGCGATATGAGGAAAATCTAATATCCCAATATATTTTTGCTATATCACGGTACAGAATATATATTATAATATTTTTAAATGAGCTCAAACATTATATTAAACTATAGACCCCCGTTAGCATGATGTCACCCATGGAAGTTCCCACCCCCATTTCCCTGCTAGACTTAAATGTAAGTTCCATAAATGAAAGGAAAAGGTATGCAGCATTTTGCTAAGACTTATCTACATTATGACGAGATAACAAGGCCAGAAAAAAGTTTTAATAATAAAATAAAATAACGAGGGAGAGGGAAGCAGGTCAGTTTTAACTCACATTAACTATAAATCAACGGGAGCCCTGAGCTTGTTTCTCTGCAACGAGACGGTCCCATCTGGGAGTGATGGGAAACACTGACACCCAAAGTGTGTTGCTTATACACAGGGTGCTTGGTCTCTAAGTGGCAAAGCAGTTTTGAAGGCTTCATGTCATCCATAAAATTTCACCCACGTGCCATTTACTGTGCATACCAGTGCTTTCAGTGGAAAAGCAAAAGTTCCAGATCCTTTTAATGCCATAGAAATATGGGACAGAAACATGGATGACATTTTTCAATAGACCTTTCTATTGATTTATAGATTAATAGAAATTACAAAAAATAAAGCTGGTTCTTAGTCAAATCCTAATGAATCAAAGTGAAAGTGTCATCCATCAATCAATCAGTCAAATTTTATTTGTATAGCACATTTTAGCAGCAAGGCATTTCAAAGTGCTTTACATAATTAAAATAAAAACAGCATGTAATAAACAGTGAGAAAGAGAAATAAAAAGCTGTAGAACTTTAGTTGAGACGCCGTCAACTGGGACTCCAACCCTTTGGACTTTAGTCAAAACGCCGTTTGACAAGGACTCTAACCTCTCATGGAGTCACTTACAGCAGTCGTTCCCAACCCCTGGGCCGCGGACCGGTACAGGTTGCGTTCTCGCTCCCAGTCAGGGAAAACCACACGCTGTTAAAATGGCCAAGACAATCCAACATGTTGAATATGCCCGATTTTAGATCGGAGCGGTCCCGACGTTCTACTTAACACACCACACATTGCAGGATGATCAGTTACAAATATTGCAGCGACAGTCTTAGAACTCGGAATGCTCTAAGATTGTCATAAGGGGAAAATCGGGGCAAAGAATTGAAAATTGTGTCATGTGCCCCCCTGATCCCCCAGGCTGCAGTAAAATTACCAAGCCTTGACCGGTCTGTGGTGATAAAAATGTTGGGGATCACTGACTTACAGCAAGCATCATGACATTAACACCTAACCCTACATGAAAAATAATATTGAAGAAATAAATATATAAAATCTAATTAAAAACATAAATAAGTGATACATTCCTTACTGTTTTGGTCTGTAAAATATATTTCTTCTTAGTATTTCTTAGTACCAACAAACCCATGCCACAATATTATTTTACCTTTTATTTGAAAATAGTGTCTGTTTGTTTACAGTCTTGCCATACAGTCCCCTGTATTAATTATTTCTCTCTTTGGTCAAACATTAATTTCTATCTCTTGTGGCTGGTACTCATTAGCATCCTTTGTCCCCACCTCACCATATCTCCCTAGGCTAAAATGAGTCTTTATGTGGTTAAAGTTGGCACATCGAAGAACACAAACACCATGTAACCTCAGCCCAGTTGCTACAAATACACTTCGCTGCAGCAAACAGAAAGGGGCGGGGACGGACCGCTGTCAGTCTCGTACCTTATTTGGAAATGGGACTATTGCACTCCGGAAGTGGAGGTGGTGCTATTTCCTATATTATGCATGGCCTTTCGTTTTTTAATTTCTTTTGAAATCTGTGATTTATCTCCATTTTAAAGAAGAATTTTCAATCTCAGTGTGTTTTTGAACTTCTCTCTCTTATTTACTTTAGCGCAGCTCACAGTTTTTAACAAATTTTGTAGCTTTCGGTGTACTTCTAAATCTGCTCCTTAGTCGCATCTTTTCGGGCCTACTACTGCCTCTAGTGGCGTGGGGGTGGTAACACAACTAATATAATTACATTACTAAATCAGAATACCACAATGTATTTATTATTTATTATTAATTCTGGCATTACTGGACCAGTAAAAGATAAATTCCCTCACAAAAGAACATACCTTTTCATTTTCTTAAGGAAGTAGAGCTAATTAAATGATCTAAAGACCTTAAAGTGGTTCCAGTTTCACTCGATGGCCAACCTGTTGAAACTGTGGCTAATTTTAAATACCTTGGCTCGTTCCTGGACAGTCAGCTCGACTTTGCTGAAAACACCGACTACATCTTTAAGAACTGTTCTCAGAGACTCTACCTTTTAAGAAGACCTGGGGGTTACCCGACTACAGGTTGTTGAGTTAAAATGTTAAAACTAAACATTTTAACTCAAGTTTTTAACTTTTCATCTCCTCGGCTGGTTTGGTCACATGAACTGCAGACTAACAGATAATCTTTTAAGAATACTTTGAATGGCAGGTAAATGGTGGTGAAACCAAAACCATCTCTGTCTCAACCGTTTGCTGAAAGAACAT